AAAAAAAAAAAAAAAAAAAAATCGTGGAAGCAAGTTAAAGAACCAAGGAATCCAATCCAGCTACTTGAAGACGATGAACATACAACACAAAACAAGACAAGGAAAAACTTGTCTTACAGGACATAGCCTGGATTGTCAGCAGTCTCTTCTACATGTATTGAGTATTAAAGTAGCCTGAATGTTTGTCTACCTGAATTTGCTCCATAACATCGTCACGCATTTCTTCCGCCATACGGTACCTGTTGAAGACAATTGAATTTCAATACATTAATAAACCTGCTTGAGGGTATAAAAGAGTAAAAACGTGTAGACGAACACTATATCAAGATGGACAGAATAACGTACTAATCAATATTTTGCGTTGCGTGATACAGCAGACGCAAATCTGTCTACATTTGCGCAGGCCAGATACTAACTGAAAACTAAAACAAAACATCACATGGAAGACAAAATAAAAAGCCATTTACTTACACATCGTGATCAGCGCTGTTATACATTAGAGCATTCTGAAACATTAACATCATGTCTCTTTGGAACTCGCTTGTGGTACGAATGGTCTGAAACAACAGAATATTGCAATTATTATCTCTGAAGACAAGAGAAAAAGACTTATTTTTACCACAATTGCTGCTAATCTCGCAATCTGATAAGGTAATTTGCCGTTGTCGATAGGAGTCCATACCACGCTGCTCGCATCAATGTGTCGCGCAATGCCTTTTTCAGCTCGCGCTCTCAAAAAACATTTTCTTTGACGTTGATATTGTGGTAAAAAACAAATCGAAATGTGGTTTAGCGTGGTCTGTACTCTTATCGACAACGAGAACGCGTCATTACTCTTTTCCCACACATATTTTTCTTATTGTTTCTGCATGTTGAGCGAGTTTGCAAAAGTTTTTGAAAGGAAAGTCTGACGCGTACAAGTAGCTCATTTACATAGTGCAGCGCGTGCACTTTCAAGTCCGAGTCGGTGTTTTCAATTGTGAACAAATCTTGACAAAGATCTCTTTCGTTATCTTTGATGTTGTGGTAAGAAACAAATCGAATGTGGTTTAGCGTGGTCTGTACTCTTATCGACAACGAGTACGCGTCATCACAGTGGTCAAAATTTGGTGGACGCACTCTGCTGCGCCTCGTGAGTCCAAACCTTCTTGACCACTGTAATAACGCGTACTCGTTGTCGATAAGAGTACCGACCACGCTAAACAACATTCGATTTGTAAATCAGACTGAAAATTTACGGGATGTTACTTACTCCATTTTCAATGTTCTTTTTTATTGTCAATAGATCCATAGGTCTGCAGGAGAACAAGGCAAACACGTCATCTTAATTAGCGGTGGCAGTTCTCATTGCAGAGTATTTCTAAGCTCGCATAAGATTGATTTGCGAAGCATGTCTTTTTATCACATAAACAGAAGCCTGTACTATCTGTTAAATCTACCGATCACAAGCACTGTCCGATTCTCACTGTCCAATAACAAACACTAAGACAACGAGAGCATCGAGGAAATAGACCATATTCGTATTCTCGGTATTAGACTGAAACTAGCTTGCAACCGAGGCTAATGCGGGGAGTCTTTTCAAATGCAAATGACATTTATCTCTTTTTAATGATATTCCACCCCATGAGCCTCTATTGCAAGCTAGTTCCAGTCCAATACCGAGAATACGAATATGGCCTATTGTCAAATTTGATTGTCGCCGTATCTAGATATGTTGGTAGCCTAACAACAGCCCTGCCCACCCCTGCTACGTAAAACATTGGACTTAATTATTCTTAATCATTCTGCCCATTGTTCTCGGAGGGTACGCTTAATCGTTGTTTTCGAAGACGGAAAATAGCCTCAAGACTTGTTCTAAACGACCAAGAGACACTGACATTTGGTAAACTTACTAACTTTTAGGTGCTCTCTTTATGTACCACGCTCATTTTTTTCAAATTAATCGTACTCAGTCCCTTGCTCGTTTAGAACATGGCCAGTTGAACACAAAAAAGAACCTTGAGAAAGGTTGTACTCAGGGCTATTGAGCTGACCTGAAAACAATGCTGTGATATCCTGGTGCTTCATCGTCAGTCACTGGATGCAGGAATACGTTAGCGTACCTGAAAAACACAAGTAGTAGAAATAACTGTAAAACGTTTTCGGTATTGACAGGGAAAATAATACTATACTTGGCCTTACTGACGTGACCGTGGCGGAAAGAAACTACTAAGGTGGTAAGAGTACGAACTGCTCACAAGCAACTTCTAAAAGCTTCACGTAAGTAGATCCAGCCTAAGAAACTGGTATGGAAATTAACGTACACTAGGAAACGTGTGTGCTGGAAGCCCGCTGGCCGAATGGTCAGCAGCGCACAGGACTCCGGATGGAGAGGTCCCGCGTTCTAGTCCTAGCCGGGGTCACCGTATCGTGTTCTCGGACAAGGTGCTTTACTCTAACAGGACCGGGTACTGGCGAATTGTTTGGGCAAACTAACAGAATACTGGGGAATAACCTACAATGGACCAACATCCAATCCGGGGGGGGGGGNGGGTGGGGTAGAAAGACTCCTCGCCGCCTTATGATACAGAAACCGGAGTAAAGCGTCCAGAGCTGTGAGCCAGTTTAGCTTAAAGGCGTTTACTACGCACAGGAAATGTGGGCGGAAATTAGATTAAGTTTTAGAAAATGGGTTTGCTTTGTCGCAAGGAACAACGCTTTAGCTAAAATGAATCACGTCTTTTCTTTCAAGGCCTAGACAACTGTAGATAACACTTTTCTGTATGTGGCAAATTCATTAGTTCATTCATTAATTCATTCTTTTAAGTGTTACAATAAGGATGATCTCTTACTTGTGATTGGCTGCAGCTCTCCAGACCAGCATGATTGATTTCTTCCAAGTTTTTTGTGCTTGAATGGCTTCCTGTTCGTCGCTACTTCTGACAAAAACGAAAACGTTTAACAGAAGCTGCATCTTAACACCACAACGCTAAAATCAACACAAAGTTCATTCATTTGGATTACCGGTTTCACTTACCCCTGGGACATTTGAGAGGCGGGGCTACCGGGTACCGACTCTGTACCCCCTATCCCCGCCCTGTCCAAAAGAAACTCCTTCATGGAAGTGGTGGGCTCTTCCCTCTCAGACTGACTCCGTTCTCCTGAGTCAGACACTGCTTCGTCTCCACTGTCTCGCTCCATCTCCTCGTCACTCTCCTCCTTCTTGTCCTCGGTGACGGAATCATTATCTTCTTCATCTTCGGTTTTTTCGCTGGCTTTCTCAGACTCTACATCCAACGACTCGAATTTAGATTCCTTGAAGGAAAAAAAAACATTCATGTTAGAAAGAACAGCCCTTTTACAGCAAGTCTTCTGAACTTTAATATTACCTTGCCGTCTTTTTTCTTTGATTTAAGTTCTGATGCAATCATACAATTGCTGTATTTTCATGATTTTCTGAGGACTTTTTATTCTCCAAAACTAGTGGTGATGATGGTGGTAGTCGTCAGAAATCTTCTACCCTGTCCACGCCATTGCTTTCTACTTCGAGTGCCACGAAATTCAACTTTCATTTTACTTCTCTTAGTGTGCGTTTTTTTTTCTCGCTTCGTTGTCTTCCTTTGCTTTTACGCATTTGCGCGTTTTGCTTCGCTTAACTACTTTTTATCCTAATTTATAACCAATTTGTGTTTGGATGACAGCATTTCTAATCTTTTGTTAAGTCGTCGGTATTTTCAGCTGGTTTTTTACATAAGCCTTACTGGCTTCATTGGGCTACCTTGCCTTATGCATTGATAATTTGTAAATATATTTATAAATGACAAAAACAATAAAACAACAGCAGTCTATACCTCTTCATGTTCCTCTTCGATGTCGCCTTCATTATCCTACGATACAAAATGAAGATCAGATCCAGAAACGAAGCTAACTGACACTTACATTGATAAAGTCATCTGATGATCTCATTACAAGGTGATTACAGGGTGCTACTTGCCGTGGAGGTCGCAGATTTGCTCCGATTTCGTTGATTTCTTCGCGCCGACCTTGGTGGTCTACCTGTAAAGGTACAAAGTACAGCTCTCTCAATGTTGCTTCCAAACAAGCTGTTCAGTATTAAAACAGTAATCGAACATTAACCTTGTGACAACAGAAAGTAAGAAGGACAAAGTTGTTTTCAGTTTGTTTCTTACCAGGCCTCAGCGGCTTGGCTGCTCGTTTAGTGACGCGCGGAGAGGAGGCTGGGGTCTCCACAGTTTCCACCTTTACTTCTGGAATGACCGCTGACCGTTCGGAGTTTGCTCGTGGAGTGCTGGTGTCGTTTTCAAGACTGTCGTTGGTTATTTCTATTCCGCTGTTTTTCTCGGAATTCTTGACTGTTGGCTCGAACTTTTGAGTTATCATTTCCTGCAATACAAAAACAAACCAGCAAAATGTTTACCGTTGTACGTGGAAACCTATATCATCACTGATCAGGTAAAGATTCAATGTCAAGCAGCTTACCTTCCTGTCTGCAGGAGGGGTAGTGGGTGGGGGTGTAATTGCCAGAGGGGAGGGCAACGTTGCAGTCAGAGCAGCAGCCTGGTAACAGACAAAATAATGTCAAGCTCGACCTCAGAAATGGCAAATACAAGCTTTGTTATCTAATACTATTTTCACCCTGTTAAAGCTCGTGTAGGTTCAGTGATGCTGGATTAGTCAAGGGTTAGAGCCCCAGCAAAGGACAGCCCTTCCCCCCTAGATTAGAAATACATCATCTCACCGCGTAAACACCCAAATAATTACACAGAGACGTATTATGTGCATCATGATACAAAGAGGAGCAAGTAAGTATCCAATAATATTTCATTACAGTTTTAGGACCTCTCATGACCATACAAAAGAAATAAACAACCCACAAACGACACTCTCTCTTGTTACTGAAACGTCAACAAAGCTGTTATCTGAGGTTTATTTTGCTCCTGCGATATAAGATCATATAAAGAGCTAAAAAATTTATCAATTTCAACGATTCTCTTGATATTATACCTTGGGGTTGACCGATATGGCTGGTACAGATGTTGACACATTCAGAACAGCTTGAGTACCTGTTAATGTAAAAACAGTGTCGTTAAACACTCCACAGGCACACCCTTCTGTCTCTGTTCTCTTGTTTAGTTTGATTAAAGGAAACACAAAAACGTCACTAGTTAATAATAATAATAATAATCACTTTATTTAAGTGTCGATGTATTTAGCACTAGATGTATTTAACACAAAGTTTTAGTTGAATTGTTAAGTTTGTACATGTAGCTTCAAACCAAAGTCTGCCATTGAATTTCATGCAAAACACAAGCAAACTAACTAGTCTTCTGGGCTGGGTTGTTCAAATCCCGATTAAGCTAACCCAGGATTAGTGAGAATTAAGATTTGAGTTTTGCAACTTTTCGGTGCTGTTTTCTGTGTATATTGTTTGCCCTTCAGTTTTGAGTTTGAATAATATCAAACGACACAAAATATACGTAGTGAAAAACATTTTTATATAAGAAAAAATTAATACTTCCGTTAACTTTTAATCCTGGTTTAGCGCTAACCTGCTTTCGAATAACCCGGCCCTGATTCAGTTCGTCAAATCATGAAATTTATGAAGAATTCATTCACGTTCAAAATTGCTAGCACAGTGTATATGGAATTCTTGAAAACCTGAGTTTAGTCAGGAGTGTTTTAATAATTTTATAAAGGAGACTAAGAGCACAGCCTTTTAGTTTTACTAATAAAGATTTACGTAAACAGTCCAATTAATTTTTTAAAATAGTAGTATTCATTTGGGTAATCCTAAACACCTCTTTTTAATTTCATTTTATATAAAGGTTTTCCTAATTATATTGTTTTTATCATTAGCTAGCATGTATGTACTTTGAACGAACTTTTGACTCATAGACGTTACCTGTCTAAATAAAAGATTGATTGATTGATTGATTGATCATCTGCTGGACCTAGCACAGTTCAGTTGAATAGAATGAGGCATCTCATGTTGAACTTAAGACTATGTCGAATTAATGAATATGGTGAACTCTCTCTAAGGTGGACACATTTGGAAATGGTTTAGGGAAGTGTCTCTCTTAATACAGAAAAACAAGTTAAATTCAGCCTTGTCCAGTGAGTCACTCATGTTTGCCTTGGGAAGGTGTAGCGTAATAGTGGTGTCCATTTTGAGATTTTGAGAAAGTTACCAAGAAAACATGGCTGCAGGGCAAGGACTTTCAACATTACAAATTTTAAACTGATCTGGCGTGCAAAGTTCTTTATCAAAATTTGTATGAAATTTAATCACAAACATGTTACTTCTTTCAGAACAATACACATGTACAGTTTTAATGTATCACTCATCAGCATGTAATCTGCAAGATTAGACAAAGTGTGTTCTTCAACCACTTGTATCACGTCACCAAAAAATATGATAACAACAAACAGCTCTACTAAAACAGCTGCTTGTGAGTGTCAATGTGTAGCACTATAATAATGTACATGTAACTGTACCTCCTGCAGAGCCCCTGGCACCACCAATCACAGAAACAGAACTTTCCACTGGTGTCCCAGGGGCAGAATCAACCAACATTGATGACTCCACCCCTCCTGGAGCCTGGAAAACAAAAAAAGAGAAACTTTTAGTTTACATTTTGTTAATTGAACTAAAAATGTGACTTTCCTTTCATTTTCACACAGTTGTTTCTTAAACAAGAAGAAAAGATTTCCCCTGTGTTTCTAATGAGTTTTAGTATAAACCTACAAGCATTCTATAGAAAATGCTACGTAATTATAATTCGATAGAACACTGAAATGTTTTCTTTTTCTCAAACATCCTAGACTACAATATGTATGCAAGGTTGTCTTCTGTAGCTCTTTGCATGCATTGCGAGTCATGGTGATACTTGCAACTCTAGTGAATGACTTTGCAGTTACTTTTATAAGTTACCTTTTATACTACCCTTTGAAGACCACTCTAATATCTACAAAATACCTTAGTTAGTGCTCCTCCATGTGAAGATATAGAGCTCACAGAAGATGATGTTACAGTGGGTGTGTCAGCCAGGAGTTTAGAAAGTGTAGGTGCGCTGACTGATGGTGCTGCGGTTTGTGGTGTGCTTCCTTGTCTCTCCCTCATGGAGTCCAGTTTTTTGGACTCCATGGAGGGAGTTACCCCTAAACAACAAACAATGTCAATAATGTCAAACGTCTGCAACGTGAAAAATGCTCTAAATCTGCAGGATTTGCGTGAAACACTTTGTGACTCTTCCAGAATATCTACAATAAAAGATATCAGGTCTGTGTTCAAGTCTAGTGGCCCATCAGGCTAGCAGGTATCTCCAGTTTCAGTACTCTAAAGTGACTAGGAGTATTTCTACTCCCCCAAGGAATTACAGTCCATTACAAGGTTACATTCCAGCATGGAACACTTCATCTGGAGTTTGGGTTACTGAGCACCAGTCTACTGAAACTACCACTAGGGATGAAAGACACCAGTGTGTGAAAACGTTTTGTTGACAAATTCAACAGCATTGTCATTCCACCATCAATACAACTATACTTTACTGCTCATCTTCCCAGCTGCAAGCCTGATTTTCTCTAGGTGTGCTATTGAATCGTCAACCAAATGAATGACCATGTGGTAGATAAGGTATTTGTAAACAAAAGTAAGGATGCAGTAAGTGAGTGCATGATCAAAAGCTCTCACCTAAAAAATGCTTTCCATCAGAATTTTGGGAGTTTGGTGTCTGGCCAGCACTTTGGGTATTATGGGATGCTGTAGAGTGTGGAGGAGTACTGGGAGAGACAGACTGAGATGTCTGACTATTTAAAGAGGAACGACGCTCCTGCTCCTGAAAAGAAATTGGCTCCATAAGAGAAATATTTACATGTACTTTACTCTTTCTGGCTTTATGAAACGCTTAATTTCTTACCATGCAGGATAATATATGAAACAGTAGAGAAAAAGCTTTTGATGTGAGTTACCTTAATTGAAGACATCTCCTGATCATTACTACTGGGCCTTCTCATCTGTTTACTGTCTTTTGTGGATCGCTGTGAAAGCAACGACACTAAGGCAGATTCGTTCGAACCCTGTGAACTAGCTGTTGCTGCTTGTGATGTGCTGCTGGGTTGCCGTACAGGACTTTGAGGAACATGATCCGTTCTCCTAGGTGATGCCAGTGGTGGCACCATTTCTCCTTGGGAGCCAGGTGGTAAAGTACCTCCCAGGTCTATATCCATTGGTTCCCCTTTAGAAAGCTGCAAGACAAATCATGGTCAAAACTGCGATAAATTTCCTGCTTTCTCTACCATGTGGTGAACATTACACCAGAAAGTCAATTCAATTCAATTCATTTCTTTTATTTACACAATACTTGGCATTTTAAATATAATTTATAGGTAAAGTTTATAAAAATAGTAAAAAGTTAACAAATATAGAGCCACAAATAAAATTTGTTTGTAAGCAGTGGCACAAGTAGCAAGAGCTTATTAGTTGGCCACCACCATGGTCAAGGAAATGGCAGCCAAGAAAAGGGATAGGTTAAATTCATACTAAAAATAGAAAAAACTTCAACTGTCTGGCTGCCACTATGTTCTTTTCCATAAACATGCTTCCAGAGATTGTTGGATCAGCAACTCTACAATCATGTACTTATCAGCTTATGATTAAAATTATCCAACTGTAAGAATTGATCAAACCCACAAACCTTGAATAGGCCATTGTCACAAATAATATGTAATTGTCACATCTACAACTCTACTTGTCAGGTCATGAAAATAATTTTCCATTTGCCCAAATCGTACGAATCAATTTTTTCTTTTTGAAAGGAATGTAGTCACAGTACTTGCATTGGACATGGATGAAATTTTTCTCAATGTACCATTATTAACATAGCTTCTTTTACTTTCAATGCACCATAATCCAATCCAGAGCAAGTACATATCAGGCAAAACCCACTGTTACTTGTACTTCTTAAAAACAACTTAAAATTTAAATGAACAATCATTCTTGTCACAAGGTCTGAAAAAATTTTGTAAACGAAGCTTTCAACTGTATTGCACAGTCTTCATCAGTGATTAAAGTGAGCCCACGTTGTCATGTGAATGCAAATTGTTTAATCACGTGACAACGTGGGCTCACTTTAATTACTGATGAAGACTGTGCGATACAGTCGAAAGCTTCGTTTACAAACTTTTTTCAGACCTTGTGACAAGAATAATTGTTCGTTTATTTACACACCAAGGTCAAGAATGAGCGTACATAGTCAAACTTAAAATTTGTTTACTTCAGTCAAGGATGAGATATCCAAAAGATATGAATTGTATTTTTACCTGAGCTCCACCTGAAAATGTTCCACTTTGTCCCAGTCCACCCAGTGGTCCTCCCCCAAGCCCAGGTGAAAAAGCTGCTCCATCCACAGGGGATTGGTTGGAAGCAGAGGCCAGTCCCTCTGGTGTCTGGCTCAAGGGTGAGGACTGGGAAGAGTGACCATGTCGCTGCTGAAGCTGTTGTTGATAGTTCTGAAATCTGCAGGAAGTAATGTTTGAAAAATGATTCAACATTTTTGCAGTCCTTGTGAGTCATCTTCTTTAAGTGACAAATAAGAAATTGTTGAGTAGATCTATAGTATATACTGGTAAGTGAGCCATATGGAATACCTTAGCTGATGTGCATGAAACCTCCAAAACAACCAATATGTTACTTGTTCATTGAAATCAAAAGATCACTAATTTTTTGAATAACTAAATCTAACACTTCAGAAATACACAAATAAAACATGTACTCCCAAATAACAAAGTCAAGATTTACAAACATGTCTCACTACTTTTAAACTCAATGGAATGCCCAGTGTGAGTAGACCGGTGGTTGAACAGAATGTCCACAAGTTGAAAGAGTAACTTGGCACAAGGTCTGCTCAGTTATCAGACAGAATCTTGAGGAATAATGAAGAGTCAGAGGTCTCTAAGTACACACATAAGATTAAACCACAAATGTCTAATTTAATCTTGGCAGTTATCACAAATGAAAACTTACATGTACCACATGTGTGAGCATAAAGTTAATTGTTATTTTTAACGCATTCTACATTGACAACAATAATTTTCATACTTTTTTGTTGGTTTAGGAACTCTCAACTGCTTTCCTTTATGAGGAGAAGACATTGGCTGACTTCCTTGTGGTTTAGGAGTACCTGAAAAGGATGATAACATTGGTACATTCCAGCTGGTCATATACAAAGGAAGAATTTGCAGAATGCATATACCTGGCTGTATCCCTGGTTGACCACCTGGTGTGGTAGGGGTGATTGGTGTGGTGGGCGTGGTGGGTGTAATAGGTGCAGATCCATCTCCCTCTTGTTGAGGTACAGGTGGTGGCCTCATCTTTTTCCTTCTAAGCACAAATAGATGAAACTGTATTAAAAACTCTTCAAAGACAAGTCATACTCAAGTGGTTTTTTCTATTTTTATCTCAAACATAACTCAGTTTCAAACCTGAAAGACTATTTTTCCTAGTTACTTCTATATACAGTGGTTAGTTTGAAGGAAATCTGCAGTTTCATTAATATCATCTGTTAGTTCATGATTTTTCCTTTTTGTTGGCATCTATTTATAACAATATCCTGAAAACCTTAGTATGGGAAACAAAATATTAAGTATCCACTTACATTTTAATTTCATCCCATAAAGCTGGAAGTTGATGATCTAGTTTTCCACTTCGGACATCTTCTATTCTGTCCTTTAGCTTCCTGAGAGCAACGATTAAGTTTTGTGGTTAAACTAACAAGCTGGCTAAATCTGTTTGTAAATGTGCTTCACATTGAAGAAAAACTGATATCTAACAAGAAAATGTTAAATGCACTGACAAGTTATGAGAAAGATGAAACTTAGTCACACAAGCTATGCAAAAATTCTTTTCCAAGAGCTCCCAATGGGACTTGAACTTGTGACCCTCTACACACTGATTAGACACTACAACATTCAGCTATAGATGACTAATGGGAGCTAAACTGTGAGGCATTTAACTAGATTGAAAAACTCCCAGCATACTGCTAAAATTAGTTTTGTTGCTGAGAATGTGTCAAAAGACATCACTTTTAATGATAGCAAATATTATGCTACTTGTAAGTTTGGAAGATGTGGTAGAATAATGCAAATCAGTCGGCGATACCAACTACTTGGAAAAGAGACTCATTATTTTTAACTGCAATGAGCTAATAATAGTGACCAATCTCTTGGCCAGTCTTGGTTATGATCAAACATTCTCAGATTGTTCCCGGTTCTAATCGTGCTAAAACATGCATTATTAATCATTATTTTGCATTCCTTACTTGTAGGTAAGCTGATCATTCCTGATAGACTTCTTTAATTCCTCAATCCGCTCAAATGTCAATTTTCTGACAATTTGATCTCCAGGTGTTTCTATGTTAAATGAAATAAAACATAAAAATAGAAGTAACTTGCAAAACTGAAAATAATCAACTATACTAATTTTACACTATTTATACTTCTTCCAGCTCATAAATACTGTACTTTAAAGAATAAAACATACATCATTTTACATGAACTTGTCCCCTCTTCACACAGATTATTATAAATCATGTTGTCATGTTTAAAAATCTTACCTGTTCCACCTCCTTCATTAGTCCTTTTTCTCCTGCAATTAACCAGACACACAGTTACATGGATAACAGCAATAAATAAGTCAGACAGCTAGTAAAGCTAGTAACGGCCACTAACAGTTGGCAATGCATGAGCTCCTTGCCAGCTTGTTGCTCATTGAGGAACATTGGCAACCCTAACAGGGTTGACTTAAATGCCAACCAGCTAATGTAAAATTATGAACTTGTATATTAATCATTCTCACTGCCAGAGGGGTTATTACTTTCTTAATAGCTATTTACATGGATTCCCAGATTTGAATCTGCACACAACCTTTTTTAGGTACATCCAAGCACAGTATAAGCTTAGCAAGACATGTTGACCTCACTCCAAAGATCAAACAGATTAATACAATTGTGTATGTAGCCACAGTTTGTAAATACTTACCCTGTTTATGCTACAAAAATTGGTTACTTTTCCTTGGAACATTTGAACCACAACATCACGGGGAATTAGAGTAAGGTTAATATGACAAGACTTAAATATACACACTAATGATCAGACAATATTGATCCTTACTTTGGTGTGTTAACTTTTTCAAGCATTTCAGAGTAGTGTGAAGCACAGTTCTATGGAGAAAAAAATGTTCAGTTATATCAGTTCTGTAATGTTCTACAGCTAAGAACTTAAAAAAAAACCTTGCACAAGTGACTTTAAAGTTTCAACACTAGAAATCCCCAGGATAACAAAACTTGGGAAACAACATCTACACTGAGAAGAAAGTTGAAACTTCACACAAGGCAGAGACTGTCCTTAATTAAGTGTATATGGAAATTTAATGAAACACTGATTTAGTGTTAAATTAACATGCAGAGTTACATTATTATTACCCTAAAAATGTCAAAATCTTTTTACAATCCAACATGATGTCTTGGATACCAGGAGGTAGACTCAGGGGTTTTCATTATTATCTTCAGAAGGAGGGCAACTGGTTTTTACAGGCGGGCAAAACCTTTTGAAGTGAACTTCTTTATAACAAAATTTTTCCTCTAGATGGTCAAACCAAGTGGACAATATCATCCTCACGGCTGGTCAAGTTGTCAGGTTCCTAGCCCTTAATAGAGACCTTAAGCACCAGGATGGGACCCACGCTGACGGCATACCAGAAGTTTATTTTCTGTCCCAGTCATGCACAGAACCTGAAAAGCTGATTGCAATCTGAATTGTCCTGACGTTGGCGACGCCACATTCACTGTTTTGATGTAGTGCAGACAACGTGATAGTTCATTGCAAAGTTTTGGGTCCTTTTCTTTGATTTACCATATTTTTTCTTACGACACACAAATAAGTACCTTTCTGGTGTTTACTGTTAAAGTTTTTTGAGGAGAAATTCTACAATGAACATCCTTGAAGCAGAAACATGCGCTAGCACAAGCCGCCAGTTGGCAAATTCACAGAATAACACAAGCTCAAAGAAATCCATTTGGTAAGATCTATTGCATTTATATCTTCAGTACTCTGGTTATCGTGGGAGGCGCGGTGGCCTCATGGTTAGTGCGCTCGTCTCCGGATTGAGCGGTCCGGGTTCGAGCCCTGGCCGGGGTCATTGTGTTGTGTTCCTGGGCAAGACACTTTACTCTCACAGGGCCTCTCTCCACCCAGGTGTATAAATGGGTACCGGCGAACTTAATGCTGGGGGTAACCCTGCGATGGACTAGCATCCCATCCAGGGGGGAGTAGAAATGCTCCTAGTCGCTTCATGCTACAGAAACTGGGATAAGCTCCGGCCTGATGGGCCACTTGGCTCGCATGCAGACTTTACCTACCTTTACTCTGGTTATCACTGATCCAATTAGATATGCTCACCATTTGTTTATGCTGATATATCTCTCTCTCTCTCTTATTACTTATATATTTACATTTCTATTTCTAAGTTAGATGATGAGAAGGTAAAATGATCTTTTCCGTATATTAAACAGCGAAACTGGGACAACTTACCAAAAAATAAATGTACCTTATTGTTTACATTAAACGTCTTTTAAACTCTTTCAGCCACCAGAAATCGTTTCTAAAACTGAAACTAAAAAATTCCCGCCAACACTTCCACTCCTCTTCATCCTCTCTTAACTGAAATGCTTTGAACGAGAAAGTTAAGACAAACAGCTTGAAATGTCTGTTTTACTGTGATAATTCAACAGCTCTACAGTGTACTGGACCGAAGAGCAAGACAAATTGATGTGCTGTGAGATTCTTGCTGTAGAACCATTCGAAGTTGCTGTTTCAGTGTTGCTTAACATGCTCAGGCGAGTGGAATGTGACGCCAGTCTCGCTCCAGCCTTTACACAGATGTGCTGTTGCCAACGCCTTCCCCCGTCTTGTTGCTTAAGGTCTCTAATGAAATTCCTGAGACTGCTTGCAGTCTGCTTTTCCTTAGAAATCACGCTGAAAGTATGGGTGAGTTGCTTAAGAATTTTGATTGGGACGAGGCAAGAGTGCGAAACTCGTGACGCGAAAAGTCTCATACCAATCCCTTCTCATCCATACCAACTGTTGCCTTTGCGTTTACACAGATAAACATTAATTAGATGCTAAGAGAAAAGAGACAGCTGTAAGCAGTTTAAGAGGGAAGAGATAGTGTTTCTAGACGAAACATGTTCATTGAATGGCTAAGAGTGAACAGGCACCATTTTTTTAATAGCAGAGCTCCAGCGGCCCAAGTGGCCACCAAGAAGAGCCCCATACTCATATGGGAAAGAAAAGGAAACCCATGAATTGATTCACTCATGGTTACCATGGCTAGCAGTGCTGCTCGTGGGCACGTATGCACGATGGCAGTGGTGGCAGTGGCGGCAATGGTGGAGTTGTGCAAGATGGCAGCCATACTCCAGCTAATAGGTTGACAGAGACATGCAGCGTTAGTTTATTGCGTCCCTTTTTGATATACTGGACATCCATGTTATGGTCAATTGACACCTGTCAAAACAAGGAATCTGCTGACCAGTATCATGTGACCACATTGCAGGCTCAAATTTAGCACTCATTGAGGTCACACGGGTTTTTTAAGTTTACCACTGACCAAGTGCTGGTTTTCGATTGGATTGCGGGCTCATGTCAGGTTAACTTGTTGTAAACAGGGTGGGGCTGTTCGGAAGCTGGTTCACGCTAACCGAGGATTAAAAGTTAATCAAAATATAAATTTTTCTTGTATAGAAATGTTTTTCACTGCTTATGTTTGGTGTATTTTGAGATTATTCAAACTCAAAACAGAAGGCCAAACAATGTGCAGTACCAGAAAATATCCACACTCCCCCCCACGGAAGGGATTGGAATTTCCTGGGGGGTGGGGAGTTCTTTAAGACCAAAAAATTTAAAGGAATGTATCAAGTTTAATTGGAATTTCCAGAGGGGTGGGGGTCTTGGAAAAAATCCCTTCNTCTGTGGGGGAGGTATGGATATTTTCTGGAACTACCCAATATAAACAGAAAATCTCCCCACAAAGGTACAAAACTCAAATCAAAATATTTCTCGCTTATCCTGGGTTAGCTTAATCAGGCTTTTAACAACCCAGCACAGGAGCTCTGCTTTTAGGGTTGGCTGAATCTTTATATTATCCACAACACAAGCACAAAAACCTCACCTGTTTTGTTCAACATGGCGTCACATGCATACAGAGTTAGCCTATTACCTTTTGTGAAAAGAAGTCGGGTGGTCTAGGTTTCGCACAACATCCTGTTTCAAGCACTGGTTTAATCGTACGACTCACAGACACCCTGGAAGGATAACGCAATGTCTTGAAAGAATCACAGAACCACGATTTCTCTGCTATTTTGTCGTCATGAATATTGAAGCTATCACCTTCAAAACAGATTATTTCTAAGCTAAGCTTAAGTTTGGCCAACAAAAAAACACCGATCCTCATAAAAAGCACATCTTTTGTGGAATAATTCCTCTCAATTATCTGTCGTTATGCTTAAAAATCCATGTTACTCACCAGTTTTGATCGCCACTTCGGACCACAGACGAAGCTAAAGTTAGTTTTTCTCTTATCGTCCATTCATCTGGGTTTTGCCCTGGAGGAAGCTTTTGCTCTGTAAAAGAAGAAAACAAACAGGATAGTAATTTCAGTTGTAAAAAGACTGAAAGTAGGACAAAGTCATCGAATAAAATGTCAAACATTACTTTGACTAAGCATGGAGGCCGCCATCTTTGTTTCTAGTTGGATCGTTACCAGTCTCCCTACCGGTGGTTTACAGGTCCGCGCGCGTGCAAAACTAACACGTAGATCGTTTATGGCGTCAAAAGTTCCTCAGTTAGCGAGGGACAAGTGGTTTGTCCAGAGAACGAGTGTAATAACTCGTGATTGTTTGTTAAGACAGAAATATGAATCCTGATAGTAATTTACAATTGTGGTTTTTTGACCGCTTTTACTTTTTGCTTTCATCATTTGTGCTTTTCCAACCGAACTGAGCTGTCTTTTTGTTCTTTCATCTAGGTGAATTTGCTTCGCCGTCATTAAGGAAAGCCGGAAATCTTCCCATGTTCTTTTTTCAGGTAAGTAGGAGCTTTCAACAAAGCAAGAAATCGAGTTTTCTGTCTAGTTCTGACCTGAGCTTTTCAGCGCTGCTGACTTTGAAATTGAAGCGTATATGCTTCGTTGGAAACAACCTTGTGGCTGGTTGAAATGGTTTGTTGACAAGCTAGGCATTATGTTATGTTCGTGTTCTATTGGGATCAAGCGTTTCTGGTTGGTAGGTTGGCTGGGTTTTTTCGTGTTCTACAGGGGAAAAGCCGTTTTCGGTTGGTTTGGTCACAGGTTACTCAAGCGTAATATAAGAGTTTGTATGGAGAACTGTGGCTAAGATGTAAGAGTTCGTGTGGAGATCCAGGAGTTGCCATTAAATTCGTTCAATGTATGGGTAATTTACCGAAAAAAGACTCTTGAACATTCAATGGTGTCATTTTTTCTCATCCTGGAGAGTCTTGTAAACGAGATTTGAGCGAATTTTGAAAAATTTGTCTCACGGTGTTATAATAAGAGACAAGAAACAACAATAAGAGACAACGAATTTAATGTCAACTCCTGATCTCCATACAAACTCTTATATTTCAGCCACAGCTCTTCATACAAACCGTCATATATTACGCTTGCGTGACCTGTGGTTTGGTAGATAAACATTTTTCGACTGGCCTCAAACCGGGTTGAAACGGTTTGTAAAGCACTTGCGTGATTGTTTCGCGTGGTTGTAGCTTGCGTAAGGACTATTCCCAGGAGTTACCGCGTTTCAACCGAAAACGGTTGGAAAAGTGTTCCATCGAGAAAAAAAAGAATCGTATCAACCCAAACTGGTTGCGGTTGATCTCAACTCTCAACAACCTCTATGCATTTCAAATATCGAGCTCAAAACCATTACTATTACTATCTTTTTCCCTGTGTCAACAGCAAACAGATTTTTTACTTTGTTCAAACTGGGTAAACCACTTTGACGCTGTTGCTTCTTTTCTTGAAGTTTTGGATCATGTAAATCCAGTTGTCACGGACATGAGACAAAGAATTTAATTTTTGTCCCTTGCCCGTGTCATCTGAATTTGCTCTTATGGAGCTCAAAACTATCAGTGTCTTTCTCTATGTCAGCAGCGAAAAGATAATGTTTTTGCATGACCGCAGAAGCTGCTGATCTTTAACTTTAATCGTGGTCAAATAAAGGTTAGGGTTGGCGAATGGTAAATGCGAGACTTTGCGAGACGAAATTAGCGTTTTTCTTTGCGAGTCCGAGACATTTTGATTTCTTTAATTGCGAGACCGAGACTTTATAGTGTTTTAAAGACGTTCAGGTCCTAAGATGTTGTGATCTCGTTTAACTTTATAAAAAAAATAAACAAATCGGTACTTCGCGACTTCCTTAGCCGTGAAAAAAAATCGAGACTGCGAGACGGACATATTAACGCTAAAAAACGAGACTGCGAGACACGTCAAATTCGTCGAAAATTTTTCGAGACCCATGGTTTTTGAAGGACCATTCGCCACTCCTAAAGGTTGTCTGTCTGTCTGTCTGTCTGTCTGTCTGTCTGTCTGTCTGTCTATTACTTTGCTAAAATTGGGTAAACTACTCTGACGCTTTACCTTTCTAGGAGTTTTGGATCATGTAAATTCACTTGTTATGAACGTGAGATAACGGATTTATTTTTTGTCCCATGCTCGTGTCAACTGAATTTGTTTTTTTTTTTACATTTCACTTATCGAGCTCAAAACTATCATTATATCTTTCTCTATGTTTTGGATCGCACCTCTATAAACATGGATACTCAATCAATAACCAGCCTTGCTGTATACCATAAACTGCCACTTATAAGCCCTCCCGCTTATAAGCCCCACTAGTTATAGGCCCGTCTACCTGTAAACAAAATATTACTTCCGAATATACTCCCACCCTCGTATATAAGCCCTCCGCTAACTAAGAACAAGTATGTGAAAAACGTATTGAACATTTATGTAGTTCGTTTCGCAAAAGTCTTTTGAATTCCGCTTATAACCCTTTCCGGACATAAGCCCTACCGTTTATAAGCCCATCCAAACCCCTTACGGAGTTGTATAGGCCCAGGTCTTATAAGAGGCAGTTTACGGTAACAGGAATTTTTCCCGAACAGCGCGCGCTCTCTCAAAACCTACTTCGAGGTCACATGACGTCAAACAAAGAAACCGAGTGTCAACTATTTTCTACATTTATACAAAAATATGGAAACAACTGAAACAACTAACAACACAAAACATTCACTCTCTTGTTTAATGAAAACGATAATGCATAAGTACACGAGTTAATCCCAACTTAATACTGAAATAACAGTTTTTGGATTCAAATAAGAATAAATATCTACATAGAGCAGTGGGATGGATATTCACTCTAATTCCACACACTCGAGGCCTGGCTTCTCCTCCTCTGTACAATTTTAACTTATTGATATTAAATATGTGCAACCCAAAAGCTCGCCAGCGTAATGAAGTTATCCTTGATGAACATTCCGAGGCCAACTGGTGCGTATTAAGAGGTTCCCTTCAATATCACAACAGCAGTTAGCAAGACTGTTTTTTTTTTTGTATGTGCGCATGCTTGAAGAATGAGGCAATGTGGTATGAATTTCATGCAATATTTCCCATGCAATGTATAACGCCGCAAAACCGCGTATCCTGCAGGTTACAATAAAGGTCACAGGTCAACACACGAGCCAAGTCACAGGTCACGCGTCAGGAGCTGGAGTTCGTGCACTTCTCACTCGTTTACGAACATCTTTAGTGATGCTCTTGGTTAGCTTAGAGTCCATTCCCACCTCTGATAAGAAACAAAAGACGATAAAGATCATTAGACACTTTATGGCTATCTGAAAGCGAGGCTAACGTACATGTCAAGATAGCGGGAGAAAACGTAGCTGAGTGGTCAAGGAATCGAGATGGACTTGAAAAAGAAAATTACACGGGTTCAATTAGCTGGAGTGGTAATCAGAGATCAACTCTTGGGAAGAGCTGCGCTAAGGTTAATCGTCAGCTAGTCAGCGTACTAATGGGGATGTTAAGTTGAGTTAAGTTTGCGAAATTGTGTTTCTTCATATGGCTGATGTCTGTTACTAGCTGCTAGACCACCTAGTCTCCCCTGTAACCGTAATTGGTGTCTTAAGTGACTATTCTTAAGACGGACTGGACATGTATTTGACAATTGTTCTCATGGTAAGTTAAAAAACAGAGCGGTATAACATCGAATACTACATGCAGCTTGTATGCAAAATAAATGCCTCTATTTTCATTTACCGCAGAAAGCTTTGGATAATTGCTATCATGATCTTTTCATTACCTTCCTCTACAGACAGGTTACTAGAATGAGCTGCAGCCAGATCATTTCCCCATAAACCCCCTAAAACGCCTTGACTGACTACAAAGTTCTTCCACAGAGATTAATATCACACATACTGGAAACACGTATTCTCACCTGATGCAGAATTCTTAATTGTCTGAAGCAGTTCTTCTTCTGTAGCTGCACTATTCTCAGCTAAGGTGGCAATAAACTTCTTTTCTTCCT